GAAGTGATGAATACACCTAAAAAAAATAGTAACAAAATCAATTAATAAATTGAGAAAGGTAAAAACCATATTAATGAAAATAAAAATTATAATAGAAGAAGAAGAATAAGCACATTTAAAAATATTAAAATTTTTAGATTAAATATAAATTATATAAAAAAATTAAAACATAAAATTTAACTAACTAACCGCAATCTAAATTAATAAAGTAAAGTAACAATACGATTTAAAGCGATAGAACACAACATATTGTAACAAATAATTAAGTACTGCAGTTAAGAGTAAATAAAGTTGGCAAATTTTGCCCAAAATTTTATAGATGGCGATGAAAAGGTTTGAGAAAAGAAAAAAAAAAAAGGAAAAAGAAAAAGATTGTAAATAATTATATCTTCTTTAACTTAAAAGCTTCAACAAAAAACTAATAAATATTAGTTAAAATAAATAATAACAGCTCTTACCACCTGATTTCAGCTAACCGTCAGTGAAAAAATTGAGAGGAGACGGTGTGATGAGGAGGAAGAAGCAAAAGATAAAAAGAAGAGACGAAATGCAGAGGAAAAGTGAGGACTCATATTTGGAAATTTCACATGCATGTTTCGGTCAGCATGCCTGACCGAAACATGCAGGAAATCAGATTCTGTATCCCACATGCTGCTTTCATTTTCAGAATTGTGAGCTGGTCGGGTCAAATCGTTTCAGAAATATTTTCGGTCAATTTTTTTGACTGAATTAATAATATTTTATATTATTTTTTAATATTTAATATTTAAATAATTTTTTTATTTCTTTTTTATTCGGTCAAGTTTATTGAACGAATTAGTTGTACTCAAAAATTCGGTCACATTAATTGACCGACTTATTTTAGTACCAATTTAATTCGGTCAGGATACTTGACCGAATTAAATTTGGACCCAATTGTATGCTTTTTTTCATTTTTTACGGACAAAGTTGATATTTGGTCATTATATTGGTCCGAATTATTTTTTTTTGTTTTGGTCAAACAATTTACTTGACCGAAATGTCTTGACCGAAATGCCCAAATTTTTAGTAGTGGGATCACCTCCCTCTCCAGGTTTTGCTAAATTAAATACAGATGGCTTTGCCCTTACTAACCCTGCTATAGCTGGGGCAGGAGGCTTGCTACGTGACCATCGTAGCAGGTGGATGGTTGGCTTCTCATGAAGCATTGGATGGACCACAAGTATTGCTGCAGAATTATGGGCTATTAGAGATAGCTTGAAAATTGCTGCTGGGAAAGGAATCTCTAAAATTATTGTGGAAATTGATTCAAAAGTTGCTGTTTTACTTATTGAGTCTACTGATACTACTTTGCACTCACTTGGAACTCTTATTTCTGATTGCAGATTGCTTCTACGCCTCTTTACGGAT